TACTGGGAATTCTATAGAATTAAAGAGGTTTTACTCATTTTCTAAGAAGGTACGATAAAAGGGAACGGGAAACACAACCATCACCCTAGCTTTGTGCACAGGAAAATGCAAATGTTATGAAAGGGTCACACAGTAATCAGAACAAGAACATGAATGAAGAATCTGCACAGATTGTCGGTTTAAACAACCTTTTCATGCAAATGTATTTTGTGAAAATTTTTAATTTTTATTTGCGTCAAGCCAATGCCCTTTTCTTGATGTGGTTTTACCATTATTTATTCCTAAACTATCACACGGTAATAGGTAATGTGCTTATTTGACTTGAAATATTGGATGTTTAGCCTTATATTTCCAGACAAGTAGTTTTTCTTTTTGTTATTTCAAATTTTAACACAATTAAGTGAGAGTGCAAAAGAAATATCATAGCAACAGCAGATATTCATGCAGATATCTGAGACTACTACAAGTTCATTTGCGCAAAAAATCAGATAGTGCTAACCGCACTTGTAAGAAATCTGGTATAGTAGTTTAAGGAAACCTTTACTGAGTGGGAAGAGTTCCTAATCTGAACGCTTGTTCCAGGTCAATGATGCAGAAAGTACTGATGCCACTGGATTACCTTGACAGCCAGGGATCTAGTATTATCAGAAGGCTACGGCAGCCTCCATACTTCCTCAGTACATTTCTTTTGAACTTGAAAATAGATTAAAAAAAGTAAACTTTCAAGATATCTATTAATGTGTCCGACTTTTATACATACTCACTTATAAATCATATATTAGAAGTGACTGATCCATTAATTATGCTGTATATGTGTGTGTCTGATAATAACAACATCCAGTTGGGTTTTTTCATTGTATTCACTTGACCTATATTCAATTCTAAACATAAAGCTTTAAACAGCCTTGCAGGTATTGAGAGTAATAAAATAGCTAAAATACTTCATATAATGGAAAAACTGCTACTCCAGGTTCCATAGGGTGCTGCCCACATACTTTAGTTAAAAGCCTAAGCATTAAGTCATGTGATCTCTGAAATAATGCTGAACACAAACATAACAATAAAGAAACTACAGCTCATAAATTGAATCATTTCAAATCCATTTTCCCTAAAAAAAAAAAATTGGTTGAGTTCAAAGAGATTTTTTACATTATTTTCTTAATAATGGTTGTTTGCTGATCGAACAATCCAATTTAGTGCAAGTGATTACTGTAGGATATGGTTGTTTCATCAAATACTGTAGATTGTTATATTTATCAATTATATTGTTATGTGGCCAGCATAAGAGAATGCTATGGCCCTCTCTTTCAAGATATCAAATAATGAAAAGACTAGCTTATGAGAACATTGAACAACATTTTCTTCAGGAAACATAGTTATTACAGTTGTTATACTAATTTTTATAGATTCATTCCAGTAAAAGAACTCCAGACACAGACAAAACAACCCACACAGCAATCCTTTCATCTGCATCAATAAACACTTGATTTATAAGATAGAGAAAATATTTTTTTTTCAGCCCCAGTCAGTAACTTTGCCTGGGCTGAGATGATGTTATGTCTGCTGCAGGCAGAAGGAAGTACTTTCTCAGTCTCCTTTCCTCCAGCGATCAAACTGTAACAAGTTGAGAAGTTGCAGAAGGAGATATGTCTCAAACATTTGTGAACACTGCCAAGAACTAAACAGGCACCAGGATTTACATGACTGTATCATCTCTGAGCATCTCAGTCCAGAAAACATATGCTAGCCCTTCATAAAGTCTGGACATACAGGTGAAACTCAAATAATTAGAATATCGTGCAAAAGTTCATTTATTTCACTAATGCAACTTAAAAGGTGAAACTAATATATGAGATAGACACACATGATAGCATTGTCAGGCAGAATGCTATGATCTTTGTGAGAGGTACCTATAATAATTAGCACATGGTAAATTAATTTAACATTAAATAATATATATCTGATTCTATGTCCACTTTAGGTAGTATTCATTTTCATATTAAGTGTTCACTTTGCTTTTTTTACATATTCTTGTCATAGACTGCATAGAAGTAGATAATTTACCCCATTTGATGCCAGTTCCTGTGAGCTGAGTCCCCAGTATTTAAAAATGTATTTATTTATTTATTACAGGTATTTATAAAGTGCCAAAAATGTACACAGTGCTTTACACAGTACACATTCACATCAGTCCCTGCCCTCAAGGAGCTTACACTCTAAGGTCCCTATCACACACACGCATACATACGAGGGCCAATTTAGACAGGAGCCAATTAACCTACCATCACTGTTAAATTTTTGTAAAACCTTCACTTCCCATTGACCTACTTTTCCTGCAGGTATTACAATGTAATATTGAAAGGTACAACGTAAATAAGTTCTACTACACTAAATAGGAAACTTAAATTTTTAGCCTTACCAATCTGAACAAATGTTCATTTCCACTTGGTATGGGTTTCTCAAGTCTATACTGCAATGGAAACTACTGTATGTCTGAGACCTATTTATAAAATCTACAGCACAGTGACATAGTGTACTATACGAACAGACCGCACTATCCAGAGAATTCCAATACTTCTGACTTTATTGAAATTCACAGCAAATCCAGTATAACAGTGAATAAAAGTGTATAAAGCAACAAATACCAGCACTGCACACCCCAACCAGCTACAACCTCTCACATGTTTCACCTGTAGGCTTATTCATAGATTCTTGCACTTTACATTGTGAGCCTCGATTTGTATTGTATTACTGACTGTGTGCAATATTTTTGAATGAATATTCCTATTTTATAGTATAAAGAATTATAAATATGAATTCATTAGCTTGGTGTATCTTGAGAAGTGCTGAGAGAGATTTCTGCATCATCCCACCCTTAGGGACCTGGTATGAAATAATGGTAACCAATTTAAAACGATGTATACATTGCAAAGGACCTAAGTGCATATTTACATATTTGCTGCGTAATAAAACACACATTTAAAGGAGAACTATGAGGTGAGGGCTTTTCACTCACCTCATAGTTCTAGCAGACCTGTGACAATGAGACTGTCACAGGTCGGCTCAGTAGATCGGGAAGTGAGCGAACACATACCGGCGTTCGCTCACTTCTCGATCCTGTCACGGCTCACTGCCGTGACAGGGGAGGGGCTGGATTCCCCCCTCCGATCCTCCAGCGCTGACTGGCGGAACGGACGGGGGAGGGGGCGGGTACAGCTGGCTCTGCCTCTAGATAGGCAGAGCCAGCTGTCACTCACGCAGCTGGGCGGATCCAGACATAATTGTCGGGATCGACTTCAGCTGCGGCGTCTCAGTATACCTAGAGCTGTAGCTCGCGGTATACTGCGGCGTCTCAGTATACCGCGAGCTGTAGCTCGCGGTATACTGAGCTTAGGGTGACGGGAGGACGCTAGTTTGTGTCCTCCTGTTACCCTAAGGAGAACTATGGGGAAAAGCCCTAACCCCATAGTTCTCCTTTAAGGTACACTTTAAAAAAAATGTGCATGCCCTATTTAAAACAATGCAGCACACCACAACACATGGCAGTGTGATACTGTGCATTGTGGAACACTGCAACAAGAGCTGCCTTGGAAAAGGTGTATTGGGGTAAATTAAGAATGATTTACATTTTCAGAATGAATGTCACCCCAGCAAGCCACCAAGCATAACGTGGGTTGCCACATGTTGTAGTGAGCATGTTCATACATGACATTTTTCCAGAACATGTTGGGTTTTCTAAACAGAGGGCACAGCAGTAGCTTCTCTCTTTGAGATTATCACTGACTAAAACTCCACACAGAGCTACACAAAACAAGTAGGAAGGGGGGATAAGTCACTGTGCTTGGGCTATTTAGCAGTGCATGTAATTTTGGCTTCAGCATTTCAGGTTAGTTTGGTAAACATGTAAAAAGGGTATATGAAATATGTACCTGAATGTATCATTTTTCTTTAAAATTCAGTGTTTAAGTCCAGAACATAATAAAGAAAATATGAGGGGTATCCAAAAGTAATGCATGTTGTTTCATATCTGCTGTTCATGTGAACTTATAATACAATGCCTGATATATGTCATACATATGGTCTAAAGCTGGCCATACACCTATAGATTATCTGCAGATTTTCTATGGTCAGATGGATGGAAAAAAGTGCAACAGATTCCTTCATCTACGCTAAACTGTGTGGATGGAGGAATCTCCCACTGGGCCAAGCTTCAGTATCTTGCCATTCGGCCCCGCTGGCTGTCAAAATACCTTAACAATCTGATTGGATGCAGGCATTGTTCAGGTATTTTGAGAGCCAGCGGGGTTGACTAGCAAGATACTGAAGCTTTGCCCAGTGGGAGATTCCTCCATCCACACAGTTTTAGATTGTAAGCCCTCATGGGCAGGGCCCTCCTTAACGTCTTGTGATTGTAATGCCTTCCTTATATTGTAAAGCGCTGCTCTAACTGTTGACGCTATATTTCTATGGTCAGATGGATGGAAAAAAGTGCAACAGATTCCTTCATCTACGCTAAACTGTGTGGATGGAGGAATCTCCCACTGGGCCAAGCTTCAGTATCTTGCCATTCGGCCCCGCTGGCTGTCAAAATACCTTAACAATCTGATTGGATGCAGGCATTGTTCAGGTATTTTGAGAGCCAGCGGGGTTGACTAGCAAGATACTGAAGCTTTGCCCAGTGGGAGATTCCTCCATCCACACAGTTTTAGATTGTAAGCCCTCATGGGCAGGGCCCTCCTTAACGTCTTGTGATTGTAATGCCTTCCTTATATTGTAAAGCGCTGCTCTAACTGTTGACGCTATATAAATCCTGTATTATAATAATAATGTGAAAAGGTAACTGAGTAGAGATATAAATAGGCTAACTGCATGTATGTTCACTGCTTCGCTGCACAAGCATTCTATAGCTCAACAGGAGTTACTCGTTTATACCCACTCGTATATATAGCAAAATAAATGTGTATATGCAAAGACTTTCATTATAAACACAGCAGACAGGATTAGGGAAATCAGTATTTTATTCCAATATATTTAGCGGATATGTGCAAATTTTATAAGTTCGCTGCTTTATAATATACATGCATGTTACACTGAACGTTGTCATGTTTGCATGCTCTTATTTCCCTGTTATACCCATGTTAACTTTAGAATTAAAAACAAAATGAAAAAAAGAGTCCGTGAATATATTTACAGAGTTGATGATGATATTGGCAGTTTTAAAACTAAAGGAAGACTAAGCCGTTAATGGAGAAAAAGTTATATCGCTATATAATTTAAGATTTCGGAATATTCTAATAAAATGTCCCCATTATAATCAAACATTTTGTAAACAACATTACATTGACAGTTATGTACAATTTACAATCTTAGTAGGAAATATACTTCTGGTTCATCAGTATTGCATGGCTCAGTCTGATAAGTAAAATGATCTCTACTAAACAGATCACTGTGTCCATAAGTTTGAGAAGAACATGCACCCTCTGGTATACCTCTGCCCTCCAGGCTATCAAAGTTAAATTTACTACAGTATCCTGCTATATAAGAGCCAGTGGAATGTCTGTTTACAGGCTGAGAGGAGATTGGTGGTTTGTTCCTAAGAACGACACCATTTGGAATTTGGTTGACTTGTTTTAACTTATTGGCTTCCTGTCTTTCCTTGGCACGGTTTGCAATGTTTCTCACTCTACTTTGACTTCTGGAGGATAGCTTCCGAGCTAGAGGTTTAGGTTTGTCCCATTCATCTTCATCACAGTATGATGTTTTATTACAGTCTTCCTGGTCATAAGACACCAGTTTCCTCAACTGTTCAGTCAGTGTGTCTGTTGACTGGTGTCTAGTTTTCGCAAAACATTTTGTATCCTCGGCATTACCAGATAAAAGGAATCCCCTATTTATTTGCTTGTACTTGCTGTCAAAATTGCAAGAAATGTCCTCTGAAGTCAGATCTCCAAGACTCTTTGATTTGCATTGACTAGATTGATTAGTTCTTTGGGTTGAAAGGCTAGGATTTTTGGGTAAGTGTGGGATATGCAAGCTACCTCTTTGGGCACCGCACTGATGGCCCTTTGAAACTTCTGGAGTTGGGAATTGGTCAAGGTCTTTACACCGATTTGACTGGATGAATTCTTTTTGCTTTTCTTTATCATAAGTATTACCAAAACCCTGTTTGCTGACATTGGCATTTAGTATCTGAGCTTGATACATTTTCTTTGAATGGCTATCACGGCTGTTATTATTTTGGTAAAACAGGGGAGAAGACCTATAATTCAAGTCTTTATCTTGAAAACTGCATGACACACCCTGAGTTTCCTTTTGAACAACAGATGGACCATTATTGGAGAAATTTATGAGTGGCAGTGTAGGAATTTTAATGTGTGGATTGTCTGTATGGCAAACTGAATCACGGTTCGGTAGACTTTCCCAGCTTGCTAGCCGAACCCTTGAAAGCTTAGGCTTTATCTCAGGGTACAGCACTTTTGAGGGCTTTGGCTTTAATTCAGGATAAGGTGGTTTGCACAGAGAAATTCTTGATTCATTTGGTATTCTGTGTTCTGCTTGCACAGTGTTTGCATCCATTAACATGTTACCCGTTTCTGCTGACAGGTTTTCCTCATTAATAATTGTGTACATTGAATATTCTGTTGTCTCAGAGCTAGAAAAAACAGTTGTATCAATGTTGGAGTATAATAATCTGTCTACATGGGTTGAACCAGGACAAAGTTTTTTAGGTGTTGAAATGGAAGGTGTGATCATTTGTGAATATCTAGAACTCTGTAGATTACTATTGATGCCATTAAAACTGGAGACATGAGTCAAACTAGCTCTGTCATCAGTGGCCTCAAACTGCCCAATCAATGCAGAGATTGAGCTGCCTAGCTCACTCTCATTTAAAGAGGGAACCTCATTTATAATTTGAGATACATCATTTTCTAGCATAGCTGCATTGGTTTGTAAATTATTGACATCAGTGCAGATGGTACTTGATAAATTAGTAATAGATGGAAATTCCTTTATTTCATTGCATGCTGCTGTTTTGGTTGAAAACTCCTCTTCCGGTTGTATATTTGAAAACACTTTTGGCTTAGAATTGTCCACAATGTAACCTGTCCTTTTGAGTTCATCATTTTCATTTTCTGATTCACTGGTATAAGTATCATTAAACTCCCTGATATTGTCACCAATATGTTTTCCATAATCTAAGTGTAAGCTCTGCCATTTTTTATGTATAATATTTCCATTGGCTGTGGTGTTAGCCTGATATGGATCTCTAGGAAGACATGCAAGATTCCGGGAATTTTCAAGTATTGGTTCTTCCATCAGTGGTTTGCCTTGGCTCTTACTTTTCTTCTTCCCTATTTATTGAAGAAAACAATCAATGTAATAAATGTTACTTTTCATACCATCACAATGAAGCATATTTAAAGGACCGGTATATCTAAAATGCCAGTCACTGTATATTAAAATATTTGCTTAACATTTACAAATATGTATGTAATTGTTCCTACAGTTGGGCATATGCTGATAACCTATTATTACCTTTGTTGTTCAGTTTGTGCTGTTCTTAGTAAAATCGCAGTATTTTTTAGCAAAAACACATTTTACCTAGTTTTGCCTTTACCTAGTTTACCTTAAAAAAGAACTGTGTGCAAAATCTGGACATTAAAAATTATTTACATAATCTCAAGAAGCAGTAAATAAGCTTTAGAATAAGCTCTCACTGACTATTGCAGCTGCAGGCACTCTAGAGTAATGCATCATCAAATTGTGCAGCAGAAAGCACTTTCACCTTCATATCAGAAGCAAGCTGGCAGCCCCCAGCAGTGCATTGGCAGCCTGCCAGCCTTCTAATCTCTAATGTAAAATAGAGCAAGTGTCCAGAAGGAGAGCATAGAACAGAATGCTGAAACCTGACTTGAATCATTTTATTGTATCTCTTGTGAACACTGAATATGAAATGCCCCACATTGTCTGCAGCTGTGGAGGTCAGTGAGGGCTTGTTTTAAAGCTTATTTACTACTTGTTAAGAATATGTAAATATTTAAATGTCCATAACCTGACCACAATAATACATTAAAGTAATGTTTTCTATGATTTCTCATTTTTACAGGCTTGATCTTTCATATGTTTATTATTATATATTATTAAATGTAACAATTAGCTCTGAATTTTGCCACAATCACTCTTCCCCTCTGCTCAAGATTGGGGAGTCTAGAAGGAAGTCAATTGGGAATAGAAATGTATCTACCAAACAAAAACAGTTTTATGTAAGCATATTGGTTTCCGCTATATACGTCTGATGTTCACATACATATTTGGCAATGTTAATTTAATACAGTTTATAAACTAATTTTTGTTTTATTGGTTCTTGGTTCACTAAAATAGACATACATATGGATGATGTGAAAAAGTGCAAGGACATAATTATGGACTTTTTGTGCACTGTGCAGACTTTTGGAATGAAATGAAGGCATGATTACACCATTTTGCCACCATTTAAAATCTCGGAATAATGATATTACATCCAGTATGTGATGTAATATTTCTGGAAGGAATGGTAATGAAATACCACACTGGATATATATTGTTTTACCTTTAGCAGTTTCCTAGTTAGAATTGTACTAGAAAACATAACAAAACAATGCTGTTAAAATCAGAAATCAGTTTAACACAATGAATAGCTTTGTGCAGATGCATGTTACAGATCAGCTGGCAGAAAGAGAACAATGACTTTATCCTTTCTTTTGGACAATATTGCATTCTCGTTGCTCCCACATATTAAATCTCTTTTCATTCTGAGCTAAACAGATCATGCTTATACCGTCTCCTGTATGTAGTATGAATAACAGAGATATAGAAATAGTTGAAGTGTTACATATAACAACCAGTTAGATACTTGCTTTCATTTTTCTGACCTTAATTAGAAAGAACTGCAACTGTAATATGACTGATTAGTATAGAAAATCAGACACTTTCTTTCATTTCTTTGAAACATTACAGAAGGAATATACCTGATCAACAGAGGTACTTCTATATTATTTGTTACATTAAAAAATGTCATAGCTATCATTAGCGATGTTCAGATACAAAATACTTTTCCAGCTACAAGACTATACTAGAGAAAAATTGAAAAGTTTTTAAGGAGCACACAGAGCTCCTGGGATTTGTACATCCTTGTTTTAATGTTTTTATAAATAAATAAAGGGATGCATCGATACCGTTTTTCCAAGTACTGATACTTTTCCAAGTGCTCACAGATACAAGTACTGATACATTTTTGTTTATTGTCATGTGACAGTTTTTCTAAAACAATACCGACTAATGATTTCAGGACAGTGGTGGAGCGCCAGAGCCAGGTCCCAGCTGCAACCCCTGCGACTCTGGTAGGTCTCATGAAAATGCCAAGTATCTGCACTGGTATCTGAACTGGTATCTAAACATCCCTAGTTATCATAGTTTCTTCAGTTAAAATAACTCTCTGTTGATTGAAGGAAGGGGTGACTGTTAGCTACTTCCTTTTGTAATATTAGGATTCAAACTAAAAGGCCAGTCCCAGCTGGCAAACTGAAGCACAAGCTATATAAAAAGAGACTGAAGGGAATTTATCAACACTGGAGCAGACAAAACCTGGAGCAACTGTGCATGGTAACCAATCAGCTTCTATCTTTAATTTTCAATATATAACTGAACACACTGAGGAAAGAAGCTGATTGGTTGCCATGCAAGGCTGCTCCAGATTTTCTCTGCTCCAGTTTTGATAAATTCCCCCACTTGTAGGATTTATCAAAACTGGAGCAGACAGAATCTAGAGCAGTTGCCTATAGCAACCAATCAGCTTCCCTTGTCAGTTTGTTCAGTTAAGATTTGAAAATGAGAGTGAAGCTGATTGGTTACTATGGGCACCTGTTTCAGATTGTCTGCTCCAGTTTTGATAAATCCCCACAGGGACACAGCTTAGTGAAATAAAAACTGCATACAAACACACTGCATGAACGGTGCCCTTCCGTGACAAGGCAAACTGCCTTTGTCTTGCACTGGGCCTGCGCTGGAAAAAATGGTCAGCACAGCCCCATCACATCTGGTGGGTTTCGGCCCTTGGGATTCGGGG